TCTCTGGGCATCCCTGTACTGTGTCCGCAGTCTCTGGTCATCCCTGTACTGTGTCCGCAGTCTCTGGTCATCCCTGTACTGTGTCCGCAGTCTCTGGTCATCCCTGTACTGTCCGCAGTCTCTGGTCATCCCTGTACTGTGTCCGCAGTCTCTGGTCATCCCCTGTACTGTGTACTGGGTCATGCCCCTTATACTTGTGTCCGCAGTCTCTGGTCATCCCTGTACGGTGTGTCCGCTAGTCTCTGGTCATCCCTGTACTGTGTCCGCAGTCTCTGGTCATCCCTGTACTGTGTCCGCAGGTCTCTGGTCATCCCTGTACTGTGTCCGCAGTCTCTGTGTCATGCCCTGTATATGTCCGCAGTCTCTGGTCATCCCTGTACTGTGTCCGCAGTCTCTGGTCATCCCCTGTACTGTCCGCAGTCTCTGGTCATCCCCTGTACTGTGTCCGCAGTCTCTGGTCATCCCCTGTACTGTCCGCAGTCTCTGGTCATCCCCTGTACTGTGTCCGCAGTCTCTGGTCATCTCCTGTACTGTGTCCGCAGTCTCTGGTCATCTCCTTTGTACTATGTCCGCAGTCTCTGGTCATCTCCTGTTACTGTGTCCGCAGTCTCTGGTCATCTCCTGTTACTGTGTCCGCAGTCTCTGGTCATCCCCTGTACTGTGTCCGCAGTCTCTTGGTCATCCCTGTACTGTCCGCAGTCTCTGGTCATCTCCTGTACTGTGTCCGCAGTCTCTGGTCATCCCTGTACTGTGTCCGCAGTCTCTGGTCATCCCCTGTACTGTCCGCAGTCTCTGGTCATCCCCTGTACTGTGTCCGCAGTCTCTGGTCATCCCCTGTACTGTCCGCAGTCTCTGGTCATCTCCCTGTACTGTGTCCGCAGTCTCTGGTCATCCCTGTACTGTCCACAGTCTCTGTCATCTCCTCGTACTATGTCCGTAGTCCTCTGGTCATCCCTGTACTGTTAATTAGTTTGCACTACTGTACGAGTTGTTTTTTCTAAACCAAAAGCTCGATATTCAGCTCGGGCTCAAAAAGGTTCGCCATCACTGATCTATAACATGTTACACATAGAGATCTCAAAACCCAAACCTAGACATGTTTTTAACCGTAGATAGGTTTAATATTTTCAGTTTAGTATTCCTTTGAATATGTTCTTAGTATAAGTACTTTCGCTGTAATAAACCAAGAGGAAGCCATGATGTGCATTCCTTGGGTCTGCAGCAGGGGCGGACTGACAACTCATGGGGCCCCGGGCAATAGGGGAACATGGGGCCCCTGTGTGCTCACCCACACCCAAAAAAGCCTATGAAAAAGCCAATTAAAGGTACCAGGGGCATCTCATGGGGCCCCCTACTGACCCCGGGCCCTCGGGCAGCGCCCGAGTGCTCCAATGCTCAGTCCACCCCTGGTCTGCAGTGCTCCAGCTCAAAATGACATTTTATTGTGCTGCTATTGCTGTAGTTAGGCTTTTATTTACAGAAAATATCTTTTGCGCCTCCATTAGAACATATACAGTATATGGCTTTGCAATTTGTATTCTTCTTGGCACATTAGTTTCTATCCCTGAAGTTTTTCACTACCTGGTATTCTCTCTGTTGATGGCAGGCCACAAAATGCCTGCTGTCCTCTTGACTAACTGTCGTCTCTTTCTGTCAGAGGGAGCTGGGGGTCTTCCTAGCAGCTTCATGAAATATGCAAAATTCACTTGGCACTAATTAGCCGAGTTTGCTGCTGCGTTCAGGAAGATCCCAAGTGCCCTCTGATGACAGATACGATGTCATATGTCCAGTAGATGTCCCAGGGAGGAGTAGGGATGGACCAGATATTTTGATAGGATTCGTTTAATGTTACTCTGAAACTGCCTGTTTTTTAATTTTTTTTTTCAAGTCAAATAAAATGGGACAAAGAGCGCTCAGTTTTTCTGAAAGTGTATTTCCACTTTTGCAGCCAGATTGGAATAACACCTACTGTATACTGTAGTCACATACTAAAGACTCACATGGCCGCTTGAAACCGTACAACAAAAAACGTTGGCATATTCCCCCATCAGGGAGCCACAGCTTCTACATACAGCCCCTCATACAAATCAATGGCTGCATACAACGATATGTGGTCATATGCCGGTACTTGCGTAAAGCTACGCATGCATACTAATGTACGCCATTGGACACAGTGTCATACATTGTTACATATGTACATGTTTACACATGTGTTGGCGAATACCCATACACAGACTCCGAGTGGGGAAATAGAACGGAATTTTATGTTGTATGGCCCCAGGAGCCCGTGTTGATAAAGCTTTATTATTGCTGCAAAGTAATTGTGATTATAGTGACTCTGTCACCGCTGCAAAAATATGAATATGAAAGCAAACGCCCCCAGTTTATACTCACCTGTCATGCAGATGCAATTTCTTCTTTGCTTTCTTAAAGGGCTCTGGGCACTGCTGTTATCTGACTTTTCTATTTCTGTGAGTTTCAAATCCCGTGTCCCTTGATGGACGCTGAGGTTCCTCCTGCAGGCCCTACATCAATAGATAAAGTATACATTTATATAATTTGGTATCCTGTATCTGAGCATTATGCAAATGTAAAAACAAATAAACGGTTTGCTAACTTGCCTTACGAAAGCTGAAGCTTGCTTGGATTAGTTGTTATGTGCTCCACTTTATATGCATTTTGCTTTGTGAATGAGGTCAATTTGAGGGCTTTATCTCAGGCTCCTACTGAACCTTTTCAGAGATGGAAGAAGTGCCAGCTCTGCAGGCAGACCCTGGAAGGAAATTGAATCAATTTTGTGAATGGTGGCTGTATCAGACCAGAGAGAAAATTGAATCCTTTTTCCTGTCTTATAATATCGCTGGGCAGACAATATAAAAAATGAGCTTAGGAAGACTACCATGGACAAGCTCTTTTCATAGAGAACACTTGTTCAGAGCCGGAGGAAATGAATTATTACTTCCACAAACTGCAAGTGAATGTAATAAGCTGTAAATACACTTTGGGTAAAAATAACCAGGAGAAAGCAGTGAGCTTTATCTGCTGTCTGTATTATATACACGTCATGAACTGTACAGTGACCTGCAACTCTGCAGTATTCCTGGAATAACTGGAGGAGCAGATCGGAGATTGGGTTGGTGAATTACTTTGAATGACTTACAATGTTGTTGTATAGTAATTCCCTCTCTTTCTTCCTTTCGCCATCTTTCCTTCCTTCTCTGCCTTCCCTTTCTTCCTTCCTTGCTGCCTCAGTCCCTCTCTGCATTCCTTACTTTCTTCATCCACCCTTCCTGCTCTGCCTTCCTCATTTCCTTCTTTTTTTTCTTTATCTTACTCTGACTTTCTTTATTTTTCCATTCCTACAGTTTCCTCATTTCCTTCTTTACTTCATTCATTCCTCACTCCTGCTCTGCCTTCCATTCTTCCAAGCTCCCTTCCTTCTTTTCTTCCTCCCTTGTTCCTTTCTGCTTTCCTTCCCTTATCTGTCATGGCCAGGGGTATTGGAGGCCAGTAGCTATAGAAGTAGAGAGATTCCGGCCAACCAACTGGACAAATGCAACAGCAGGTCACCCTGGTGAATGACACAAGCTCACCTGAAGTGTAGAGTCTAAGCACTAGCCAATGTTTATCAGGGCCCCTGATGGTGAAGATGGGTTTTCTGAGTGCTATTACCAGGTTGCGGTCCTGGGGATCACTCCACCAGGTGGTGTGCAAGCCAGGGTCCAGTAGCAGATATAGCAGGTAGGAATCAGGAAGAAGCATAGTCAGTAAACAAGCCATAGGTTGGTAGCAAGTGGCTGCAGGTTGGGATCAAGTAGAAGCGTAGTAGAGGAACAAGCCAAAGGTTGGTAAGGAGTGGCAGCAGAGACAAGAGCTCGAGATATTGGATGCAGAGAGCACAATAATCTGGCAAACAGGAAGTGCAAAGACAAGGCTTATGGTCTGGTTCACACCTATGCAGTTTGCTTTTGATCCGTTTCTTCAGTGCTTTCTGCTTTTCTGAAGCATCTCCATTGAAGTCTGTTGAACCAAAAAAACACACCGTTTGGCATTTAAAAATCAGAAGTTCATAGGATGACAAAGAGTTCAGGGTTCAAGAGAAACAAGACACAAGGCATTGACCAGGGAACTGGCCAGCATCCCAGGTGGCTCAGCAAGAAGGGTCTTCGCCAGACACAGCAGAGATTGCAGGTTCAGTCCCAAGCCTGACCTCATCCCTCCTTCCTTTTCTGTCGTTCCTTTGTCTTTTTCTTCCTTCCTTTCTCCATTTATCCCTCCATGCATGCTTTTCTCCTTTTCATAGGATGAACAAAGAGTTCAGGGTTCAAGAGAAACAAGACACAAGGTATTGACCAGGGAACTGGCCAGCATCCCAGGTGGCTCAGCAAGAAGGGTCTTTGCCAGACACAGCAGAGATTGCAGGTTCAGTCCCAAGCCTGACCTCATCCCTCCTTCCTTTTCTGTCGTTCCTTTGTCTTTTTCTTCCTTCCTTTCTCCATTTATCCCTCCATGCTTGCTTTTCCTCCTTTTCATAGGATGAACAAAGAGTTCAGGGTTCAAGAGAAACAAGACACAAGGCAAGATTGTTCAAAGAATTGACCAGGGAACTGTCTAGCATCTCAGGTGGCTCAGCAAGAAGAGACATCACCAGACATAGCGGAGGTCGCAGGTTCAGTCCCGGGACTGATATAATTCATCCTTTCTTCTTCTGTCCTTCTATTCCTTCCTTTCTCCATTCATCCCCCCATGCTTGCTTTTCTCCTTTTCCTTGTAAATTCCTTTCTCTATCCCTGCTCTCTTCTTTGCCTTCTTTATTTCCTTTCTCACTTCTCTTTTTCTTTCTTTCCTTCCTTCCTTCCTTCCTTTTTGCCTCTCTTGCCCTCATCTCTGCCATTCTTTCTTTCATTAGGTCTCTCTAATCTTTTCCTTCAATAATTAAGATAGATGACTAAAGAATAAAGCACAGCAATTATTGATTACATTGTTCCCATTGTTCCAGTCCTGTTTTGATTAAAACAGGTGTATTGTTAGTTTTGTAGGATGTCTATTAATGATGTCAGAGTTCTTAGAAAATAAAGGAATGTCAGCAGTTTGTATCCCCCATGGCACTGTATTCCTCTCTGCTGCCTCCATCCTCTGTGCATATAACTCAACTCTCTTATGTCAGTCCAAATATAGACAGAACAGAACAAAGGGTTCAGTAACTATAAATTAAGAATAACACATCCTCTTCTTTACCATTACTTATTTTCTCATTTTTATATAGACATATACAATCTGGACAGGTACAAAATGTATTTTATTTATTGCCACTGAGAGTTTCAGAGTTCTATTTCTCAGAAATTTAAGTAGTTGGGAGTAGAGGTTTGCTGTACTTTTGTATATAAATGCTGAACCCATTCCAGATGGCCAATGGCTGAGTTTCTGACAATGAATAAGCACGTTTCAGCTTACAGAAGGTGAACACCAAACCTTTTGCCACCAATAGTGATCCTTCTCTTATTGGTCTAGTAGAGCAACTCAATGCCCCTAGAACCAGTCCTTGGTGGAAAAACATAGATTTCAGAGACTCAACATCCAGTAGGATCCAGAAGGTCCTAGTTCCAGC